CGCTGAGGGAGGACGGATCCTTGACCTAGCCACAGCCCACGACTTAGCAATCTGCAGCACCTTCTTCGCGAAAAGGAGACAAAGGTAACCTACAGCAGTGGAGGGAGACAAACGGAAATCGACCATGTCCTGGTCAGAAGATCGTCTCTCAAAACCGTCAAGGATATCAAGGTACTGCCTGGGGAAGAGCTGGGCCCTCAGCACAGGCCTCTCCTGGCAGACATCGCCATAGACCTCCCAAGAAGACGAGGGTGAGAGCAGAGCGAAGAATTCGGTGGTGGAAAATGGGCAGGGTAGAAAAGGATAGCCTCGGCCGAAGAATACTGGAGGCTGGGCTCCCAGACCCACATGGGCCAGTCCAGGACACCTGGACCTACGCAGCAGAGGTCATCCTACAGTGTGCAAGGGAGGTCCTGGGAGAGACGCGGTGGTATCAGAGGAGACAAGGCAGCCTGGTTCTGGAACGAGGAAGTCCAGAGGATCGTCAAGCAGAAGAAGGAAGCATACAAACGCTGGCAAAAGACACGGAGCCCAGAAGACTACGCTGCCTACAAGAGCTGCAAGCGACTCGCCAAGGCGCCGTTGCTAAGGCCAAGAATACGGAAATGGACGCCCTGTACGACAAGCTGGAAGGCCGAGAAGGGGACAAGTTCGTCTTCCGCCTGGCTAAAGCTCGGCATCGCGCAGCTCAGGACATCAGGGTCGTAAAGACTGTGAAGAGCAGCAACGGGGCCATTCTCAGGAAACCAGCCGAAGTCAGAAGAGGTGGGAAGAATACTTCGAGGGACTTCTGAACGAAGAATTCCCTCGCAAGGATAGCCCACAGATAGAGGCGACGGCAGGTCCCATCACTCCCTGGACGAAGGATGAAGTTCGCCGGGAGCTAGGGAGAATGAAAGTTGGGAAAGCAGTGGGTCCAGACGGGGTACCGATAGAGGCATGGAAGGCCCTTGGAGAGCATGGGGTGAGTTGGCTCACGCACTTCCTAAACAACGTAACAGCTGAAGGAAGGATGCCGAATGCGTGGAGGAGCAGCACAATCGTTCCCATCTTCAAAAGAAAGGGGACGCGACGGAGTGCTCCAACTACCGCGGCATCAAGTTGACTCCCCATACCATGAAGCTGTACGAGCGCCTGGTCAACACTAGGCTGAGGGAACTTGTCCCTATCTCGCAGGAACAGTTCGGCTTCATGCCCGAGAGGTCCACCACCGATGCCATCTTCATCGCCAGACAGCTGATGGAGAAGTACCGAGAGAAGCGGCGACCCTGCTACCTAGCCTTCCTGGACCTTGAGAAGGCATTCGACCGCCTGCCAAGGCCTGTACTCTGGAGAGCGCTCAGAGAACGTAACGTTCCGGAACACCTCATCTCCATAGTGAAGGACATGTACGATGGGGCTAAAGCAGCTGTACGCACCCCTCACGGCTTGACAAAGGAGGTAAACATTACGGTTGGGGTACACCAAGGGTCAGCCCTCAGCCCGTTCCTCTTCCTCCTGACTCTAGATGTCATGGCAAAAGAACTCATGGAGGGACCACTGAAAACCATCCTCTACGCTGACGACATCGCCCTGATAGCGGACAGCAGGGAGAACTCCAGGACAAGGTGCAGCGGTGGCAGGATGTGCTCGCTGAGAATGGACTCCGGCTGAACGTGAAGAAGACCAAGTTCCTAAGCTCCGAAGAGTGCGCCGAACTCATCGTAGACCGCCATGGCGAGAGCATCGAAAGGGTCGAGGATTTCCAGTACCTGGGGAGCAACCTAGCAGCTGATGGCAGCGTGGACCAGGCGGTGAGGCCCGAATCAACGCAGCCTGGATGAAATGGAGGGAGTCCACTGGCATCCTGTGCGACCGGCGGTGCTCGAGAACGCTCAAGGGCAAGGTGTACCGGGCTGTGGTAAGGCCTACAATGCTCTACGGCAGTGAGTGCTGGCCTATCTGCAAGAACCATGAAAGGCAGCTCCACTCAGCTGAAATGAGGATGCTGAGATGGGCCTGCGGCTGGACACGACTCGACAGAGTCAGAAACGAGGACGTCAGAGCAGTCACACAGACGGCTCCTATCCAGCTGAAGGCACGAGAGCAGCGACTGCGATGGTACGGTCATGTACTGAGGAGGCCTGAAGACCACCCAATAAGGAAGGCATTGGAACTCGAGGTAGAGGGCAAGCGACCACGAGGAGCCCCAAAGAAAAGATGGAGGGACGTCATCAAGAGGGACCTCACTGAAGTGAAAGCCACAGCAGAAGATGCAGTGGATCGGAACAAGTGGCGACGTCTAACAAGAACAGCGGACCCTGCGACGGCGCGGGACTAACGCTAGGGAGAAGAAGAAGAAGAAGAAGAACGGTTGTTACAAAATCATGTGTAGCCGTACCACTCTATCCATCGCTGCTTCAATACAACAGGTCGTGCGACCAAGCTGACAAGCGGTCCGACGGTGGCGTACCGGTTGGAAGGCGTGAGACTTGAGGCGGCTGCGCGGGTGTCGCGGGCGACGTCGCGATGGTTCTAGGTGGTACGTGGCGGCAAAGGTGATTGGGAATTAAAAACAGTCATGCTACGATTATAAGGTCTACATGAAGTCCGGTACTCCAATAGACAGGTTAACACGAGTCAAGAAAACGCCGTGCCCATCGGAGCAGCAAATTACGATTCTCTTGCCCGTCTCCCATTTGTTGATGTTTTTCCGTTGTAATCAGCTTGTAAAAGCTGGAAATATTCTTTTTCCTACTTCATTTCCGAAAGGTATGTTTGCTAAAACCAGTTATTTTGCATCATTTAGCACAAACTTCTTTCAAACAGTTGATTACATCTTCCTTTTTAGAACTTATCTCGAATGTCTTCGTTCAAATTCAATGCTCCTTACTAAAATTGTGCAAAATGAAATCTAGCTTTAGTAAAACATCCTTACCTTTCCTTATTGAAGTTGGTCGAAGAATTACTTCAACTTTGAGAAGCTGAAAACAACAATCAGTTCAATGATCGTATCAGCCATTATCCATGGCGGCGGCGTCAGACCTAGAACTTTTTAGAAATTTGTCAAGTACGATTCTGTGCCAAGGCTACATGGTGACCAGTGCAGGTAAAGATAACTGAAACTTCGAAGATTTATTCCTGGGGAGATAACTCCATAATATTTTGTGGTATTCAAGAAACTGAGTGCATAAAAAATCCAAAATCGGTACTTACAGGTTAATACTGTACAATGACGAAGTTATGCAAAGAAAATACATTGAATAACAGTGACAGGAAAACAGCGAACTACAGTTGATTGACTTCACAGATAAGAAGCGCTATCAAAGGTTGGTTAAATGAAGGCACCAAAAAAAAACCAGAAAAATATCCTTCTTCGCTGACCACTGCTTCCGTTAGAATTGCGAGGGAATCCGAAGCGCAGCAGCAAGCGTTCGTCTGGAAATGACTGCATTGCTGCAAGGATATCATGTCTCTTTGTCTGCGTCATCTCATGAACAGCAAAACGAATTACAGACCATGACGCGTCATACGGATAGGCGTGTCAGGCAGCTTTTACTTCGCGATGAAGCGCGTCTACGCGTTGTAACGTGCTACAATTGCAACAGTTCCAGTCCTGCAGAAACGAACGCAGCCACACAACAGAATCGATCTGCGTCGCCTTGCGGCCGTCGTAGCGCTGTCGTAATCTACAGCGTCACAGCGCGTTATCGCTTTGCAGGTCGATGCGCGTTACCGCGAAGTCCGAGCGCTCACACGCCTGACCAGCGCGCTACTTCATGGACTGTATATCTCATTTCAAGAAACATAAAAGATGAGTAATAACAAGATATCACATTGAACGCCACGGTAATTTTGCTGCGACTCCCGTTCACGCTTTCTGCCTCTCCGCGCGTGAATTGTCTGCAATTCACAACCCCACGTAACGTCAGTCTTCGTGCGCATGCTCATCGCACCTGTTCTGCTTCCATTTCCGCTTTTTATGAAGAACTGAGTACTGTAATTTCACTTACTTACATGACTCTAGAATACAGGCCAAGTTACCAACCATTCTGGAGAGGCTAAGGAAGTTCTTGGGCATTTTCATTCATAGGAGGCTCTCAAGGAAACCAACGAACATATCCACGCGACTGATGCGAAATCTGCACCTTGGCAACAACCAATAAAAACAGACAACAAAAAACAAGTTAACATGAGAAATGCACCGTCATTTGTTGGTCATGAATTATCATATGAAGACCAATTACTGTGCGCTTGACTGCCGCTTCAAAAGAAAAGGCAATATGTACCCCAGCTTAGGAGCCGATGATTCAGGGTATTTTGGAGCCGGCCCCTGTGGCACCAGAATGTTCCCTGCCGAGCGGATGTGATATACATGCTTAATAGGTCAAACTACCCTAAGGAGCAATTTTTTAGCCCATTTTAACAACGCTGAAAAAAGGCGGTGAGAACTGGCCTGTTACGGAAGATTGGGGCAGCAAAGGATAAATTGTGCCAAAGAAAAGAAAATAATGGACTCCAATGAACACTTCCCAAAACGCTCCAAAATATGGAGCATGGAGACTAAGTAAGATATATTAGACACATATTTGACGATTGTAGCTTTAACGCAAGATTATCCAGGATAATCGCCATACAATGCGTGTATTGTTGGCAATACCCAACCGCGCGGAACAAGAGTATGAGCGTAATTACTGACAATTCACGCGGCGTTCAATGTAATAGATAGCACTAAAAAGACGTGGTTCGCGACGCAGCGTGGCATCCCAAAATACCTTCGACTCAAAGTGCAGTTTAAGAACGAAACAACTCTGGATCAGCAACAACTCACGCCTGATTCATGCGACTGTGATTTGTCCATTGATTTGTTTGAACATCAAAAACTTCCACTGTTTCGTGGTCAGCAGAGCCGTCGGTCCCTCCAAGAGCATATAATCTTCCATTAGCAACGACCAACCCTGGCTAGAAACAATATCATTCGAATTTTCCATGCTCGCACAATACATAATGGTCCATATCTCTCAGCCAAACAGCTCACTTACACCAAATCGTTTCTTGATCATGTCTGCCACAGCAGTCCATTCGTTCGTGCTTGGGTTGTATACTTCGGCGGAATTCAGATGGCAGTTGGACTTATCTTGTCCCCCTACCGCATATAAATGGTCATCGAGAACGGCTGTTCCCAGGAATTTGCGGTATGTCGACATCGGGCGAATTGTTTCCCATGTACCCACACGAGGATCAAACCTGAAACGAAGAGCGTCACTTTTATCAACTCTTTTTCAGCCTTTGACAAAAGTCAAGTATATGTTATACGAAACCCAAATCATGGCGTAATCATTTTACCAGAAATCATGCATCATTCACCTCTCCACAATATTCAAAGCTTCCTCGCCATCAGATCCCCCAACTGCGTACAAACATCCGTTCAACACGGACACGGAAAGTCCGTAACGCCGTCTGCCGAGTGGTGCCACGTAGGTCCACTCGTTTCGTCGAGCATCGTAACTGTAACAAAGCAGATATCAAAATGAACGATGTTCAACCAGATCACCTCTTACCGCTCAACGACGTCCAAACTATTTCCGTCGAATTGGCCTCCAACTGCATAAAGAAAACCACCAAGCGCAGCCACACCGAGTTCGCTCCTTTTCGTCGTGGTAGGAGCGACGTTAGGCGTCCATCGATTAGTGACTGGATCG